GAGTCTGTTGAGTAATTGGAAACTTGTCGTGATCTTGACCACTATTCAAATTTAATTCTTGTTTCGAATTTTCAATTCTGTTTTATTTTTTACGGAATTGCGTTTTGTGATCTTTTTAGCTATAAATAGTAGTATATTGTAAAGTTTATTAATTGATGTGTGATTTTTTTTTGTTGCTAAGTTGACATAACTTTTTTGATTTACTTTTAATTTACTAAGTTTTTAGCTCAGATAGAAATGGAAAAAAGTAATTTACCCAATATTCAATGCCTGTCCCAAATACTTTCTTTTTTAAAATAAACATCTTGATTTGCAATTATTTATTACATCCGAGACAGTCTAATTTAATATACTTAGAAGAGCTATACACCTTCGAAGTAGGTCAGTAAACTAACTTGAAAAAGACGACGAAGATTCAAATAATTTGATTTATTCGCTTGCCCCTTTTCCATTTCTATTAAGTTGCTAATGAGATCTTTGCAAAAACTTCCAAGGACCGTTTTGCCATTTTAATTTAAGAAAAAAAAAAAACAGCTACAAATAAATTTGAAAGAGGAGAGAATTGTTCGGTTTTTTCCAAGTGTGATTAAGTTTGACCAATTGTGAGTACAAAGGTGCCCCGTAGCACAACGGAACATTTCTAGACGTAGGTCAAGAATTGCCGTTAATTTCGTCTAAATACGTGTGTAGCTCATACACTTCATCTTAAAGTTTAAAATTTCTCTATAACCTTATTAAAGCAACGCGTATTGCCTCTTAAATCAACTAGTCCTTATCAAAATTACATTGGAGACAACAAAGTCTTAATCAAATTTTCTTTATGGGTGTAATCATGGAATGAGTCTTCCCGCCCTGGGTGAGGCGAGAAAGAGTGTCAGACTCTTAAAACCTAAAATAACTCATTTTCAACCCTCACTATGAGCTGTAACCTACTGCAGAATGTCATTGCCCTTAACCCGTTATAAAATAACAGCATAAGAATTTTCGAATCATAGAATTATCACAACCATTTATGAAAAAGGAACGTCTTTTAAATAAATAGCTTGTGTTGTTTGGGAAGGTTCGATATTAAATACCACGCTGGCTTAGAGCATTGGAGATTTCGAACGTCTACTGGAGATTTCACCGGAGCTCAGTGGTGTCTAAATACACTTAGAAAGTAGACGATATTCGATCATTATTATCTTTAACGGGCACTAATTCAGGATTTTTGTTAATTAGAATCACCTAGGACGTTAGGACATCAGTCCAATCATATGAGAATAAAACGTGTTTTTGAAGACACGTAAGAAAACCAACAAAATATTACTTTTCATCAAGATTTAATAAAAACATATGTTGAAGCTTCAGATATTAATTGCTTACTGCAATCACCGATAGTGTGAATGCCGCATACCAAGACTTTTATAGCTAACTAGGAATTTATGTACAACGTCATACATAACCGGGCTTTTGTTATACAAATGTAATGTAACAGTATTGCTGATAAATTCTGATTAACGTTCCGAGCATTGAACTTCGTTTGTAGAGAATATGTGCCTCGCCACTAATCATTCCAGGTAATTACTGCTAAATGAAGAAGTGGTAAGGATAAACCGTTTAAATGTAAGATAAGATTTATGTTTAAAACGACGTTTAGAAGGTTGGACATAAAAAACAATATGAAAGCTGCAGACGAAATTTTTTATAAAAAGCTAGCTTTTGCCCGCGTGAAATAGTGACTTCCTGCAGAATTTTGGTACAAAATTATCCTATGTCCTTTCTCGAGTTCCAAACTATGTCTGTACAACACAGAAATCGGTTCAGTATTTTAGGCGTGTAGAAAAGAGAGTCAGACAGACAGAGTTACTTTCGCATTTATAATATTAGTTTGGATAACGTTAATAAAGGTCTCAAAAATTACCTCCTGTATGTCATTTTTCTAATAGCAACGTTCACAGAATAAAATCCAAAGATATTCGCTTCAAAAATGTTTGCAAGAGCTGACGCATAAAACTTTGGCGTGTGTAAAAACAATAGAGCACATGCCATTAACGTCCAGAGTCGAGTCTGCGTGTGTGAAACGAAGCCTGTTGTTGAGCTGACGGTGCGAAAGGCTCTTAAATAAGTTATGGCTAATTCCCGACTTCGGTCGGTGGCGAGGAATGCATGCCGCATTGTACCTTCTGACTTATCTAAACACACACAACCTAAGTTGCCACTGACTGGCACGCACGGATCCTTCGTTATCTTTGAAACTGTTTTTAATGTTTAAGTTACTTCTAAAGATAGGTATAACTTAAAGTAAACACACCATCAAGAAAAACAATGTCAACCATGAACCTAGAAGTAAAAATAATTGGAAGGAAGTTTTTGAAAATTTAATTCGCAGGTTTTTTTATGTAATAGGTCAGCAAACGAGCAGACGGATTACCTGATGGTAAGCAATCAGCGCCGCCTATGGACACCCGCAACGGAGGAGTTACGAGTTCGTTGCCGACCTTTTAGGGATTAGGGATTAGGGATTTCAAGATTTGGGGATTGGGGGAGGGGAAGGGTTGGGCCTCCGGTAACCTCACACACACGGCGAAACCCAACGCTGTGGTTGTTTCACACCGGTTTTCTGAGGCCGTGGTATCACTCCGGTTGAGCCGACCCATTCGTGCCGAAGCATGGCTCTCCCACACTTGTGGTCTTTTCAAAACTGAATTCTAAACGAGTATGAACTCTTGTGCTATGTTTCTCCTTATTGGACTAGACCTTGAGTATCCATTATGCTCTTCTTTATACGCCTGTACATGAAGATGAATTGCCGAACATAAATATTATGACGGCATGTGTATTACAGAAATGCTTTTGAAAAGTTAATACCTGTTCGAGTCTAATGGCGCGCTATTAACAGACCTCTCGGGCAATGCCACTACTTCATCTATTGGTTTTACAATCCCATTTTCTCTAACAATAGGTTTCACACCTAAATACATATGTTTTTTAGATTTGTTGTTAATAAAATTTCTTTTTGAAGGCTATAAATCCATCGGCAATGTCCTATTAGTCATTAAAAGGAACGACGGTATCTGTATCACTACTAAAAACGGAACCCTTATACCAAATGAATTCGTTGGAAATTGCAAACAAGCTATATTTGAAAGGTCACGCTTGCCTGGTTTTGTCAGGCGGATAGGCTTGTGAATAGACCAAGTTCTTTTGTCCAAGAAAGACTATTCAGAATACAGCCTTAAGACAATTGTGCGAATTGTTCCGCTTAGTTGGATGTGTAAATTTAAAATGACAAGCAAGCAAAGACTGACATGTTAAGCATACGACTTTATGACGATTAAAATTAATGTATCATTAATAATTGAGAATTGTTTCCATTCGTTATAGGTAATTAAATTACAAAACTAATAGTAAAAAAGTAATAGACTATTAGTACTGTCCCAAAAACTTTTAAATTGCAAGTACAAGAGTGAAGACAGCTTTCTACATACAACTCTTTATACGGACGACTTTTAGCTATTCACCTTTCAGTTATTTAGTACGTCTGGTCCATTGTGTCCTGCATGGCGTATGTCGGTCTGTCGCAGAACATATGTCTATTGATTTAGCGCGGCCAACCACAGAGGGGCGTGATTGGAGCGTGACGCCAGGTTTGAAGTGTATTCATTAGGGAATAGGTAACCACTGCAATATTCAAGGCCATGTTTAATGTATAGATAGTTCGAAGGGAGGGCCTCATGGCTGTGGTAAAACTGCAGTCACGTTCCCTAACAAATTAATATTGATGTATTACGAGTAGATAGGTACATTATACTACTACACTAGTCATTATGAATTATTTCCACGCCGTTTCTGCTGTAAGCCATGCTTCGTCTGCAATTTATTCTTTTTAAAATCTCCATGATCTATTTTATAACGTGCAATTATAGGCTCTCCGTCGGCGACTTTATGCTCAATACATTTTCCTATTAACTGTTTAAGTCTTTCGGTTAGGTACTTAGTCACTATTTGTATCGAACATGAAATTAATGTCAAATATATTAATTGATTTTTAATCTTAAAGCCACAAAACATTACAACATATTATTGTTAGTTGGATTTCGAAGCAGAAACCTTATAAAATATGTTTTTGTTTCAACCAATTTCAATCTATGAAATTATGATCTGATTTATAAATCTAATCAAACTCTATAACTTCGCAAAGTAGCACTCAAATTACTTTCATACAAAGTTCGAAGGATATGTTCAAAGTGAAAAATGATAGGTACCTAGTACTTAAGGATGTAATATTTCTTTAAGCTTATAGGTACCTACCTAACTGTATTTCTTGTTATTTCAGGTTTAATTGCAAGGTTGGCTGTCTTGGATGTTACTTCATTTCCTAAAACATTCAGCAGTTCAAGTAACTTTCGCAAGATCGGTGGGGTAACATTGAATCTTCATTATAAATGCCTTAGATGCTCCAAAGATATCATCGTGTTGTAACGTAACTACCTAATATTAATCTGAACGCGATCTCAGTTGATGCAGCTACTCTTTTGTCGAATTTTGACCTTCCAATACCTGTTATTACCTACTAGGTAAATATGTTATACTTATACTTTCAATCTTAACTTAAAATGGAACTTGTCACATATAAAAGTTTTGAGTAGGTAAGTATAAACAAGGTTGGATATATTTATTTCGTTATTCATATTAAACAGTGCAAGGAAGAGTACATGATGATATGATGATAAGCTGCAAACTATAGTCGGCAGTTGGTTTTATCGACTACTATATGTATATATATTGAGAGACTGGACTGATAAAAAGATGCGTTTTCACTTTCGCTGAGAGTATAATTAAACAGGTGACAAGATTTCGAAAATATTTTAACTATTTCACGACACCTACGTCTTGATTCGAGTTTATAATTCTAATGGCAAAGTTACTAGTAAAATGAGGATCCCAGTTCCCAAGAGACAACACATTTTCACGAGATAGAAAAAGATAAGATGATTTTAAAACGTTTATAAACTTACCGGAGAGTTCTGTTTATTTTTCCACCCACTAATATACAAAACCCGCATTTGCGTTGCCAAGTCGAACACTCGTTTAACACGGTTAGTATAAACACCGAAAACACATGAAATAAATTTGTTGGTTTATGCACTTAAATGTCTAAACTTGCGATGAAGCAAGTTTGTGTAAAGCTCGGTAGGCGTCGCAACACATGCGACCCGGGTGGCGGCGCGCAGCGTACTGGTCTCGGTCGGCCATACTCGTTTGGTGGCGCGACTCGGCTCGGAAGCGGCCGAGACTCCGAGAGGCGACGACGCGCGCCTGCGACGAGGGACCGTGAAAGAAGGGACACAACCCGACTCTGTTTTTTGTCCCGTCTAAGTTTAGCAACAAACAACGTCTGGCTGGAACCATTCAAAAGGGTTCTGATTGGCCATTGACAGTGTTGTGTTGACGTCGCAGTAAGATAGATGTAGCCGTAATATAGTTATATCCCTAGGGATATAATTATATACCGGAACATAGTTATACGAAAGCGATTTATTACTATCTCACTAGGGATATAGTTATAAAATGGACCTAGTTTAGTGATATACTTATATTACTAGATTAAGTTTAGTGAAATAGATTTATAATAGTTGGTCGGTGTTCACGTCTAGATTTCGTGCAAGTGCATTTTATTATCGCTACGCTTGCTTAGCATTTGTATTAGTTTTATAATTGCTAATTACTTGCGCCAGCTATGGATAAAGATGAAGAAATGAATGCAGGTGGCGTGCGCCAAGAGAACGTCGGCTTTGTCCCTTCAAGACATTGGCAAGTATCGGAAGTGTGCTGGGCCCATAACCTTGGGGGCTCCCCTAGTTGTACCCAGAACTTAACCCGTTCTCTCCAGAGCATCGGCGGCCGCCTAACTGCGAACCGATGCATAGGAACCCGCTGCACATTAAGATTGGTAACGGAATTGCAAGCTTAGGGAACACCAATAGGTACCTACTCACCTCCCTGCTCCGAGTTTACCCCTCAGGCCAAAAGGCACCTAACCACCAAGTTTGTTCGGGTTTCTTCTTCTTAGTAATAGGTGCTAGGAATATTTAGGGACCTGCCTACTGGAGGAGGCACGCATCTGTGGCTCCTCAAGCAAAGTTATTGTTAGGAGTAGGAACGTAGGCCCTCTTCATCATGGCCCTTCAGTCCCTGCTTCTTCGCCTTGTTAAAAGGCTGGACAATAGTCCAACACTCCAAGCTAAGGTTGAACCTCAGGTTGAGAAATTTATTCTAGACCTGATTCCGGAATCCCCGGAATCACCTGCGCCGGAGAATTCAACGGAGGCCTCCCTCTCGCTTCAGAGTAGATACCTAATGAACTCCCTGCTGAGATACCGATCTCACAGCTGAGGTTCGAACGAGTGGGGTACCTGTCCTCCGGTTGCACCGACCCGCCCGGAAACTTCAGCCTCCCCGGCTCTGCCCTAAACTTCGGCCTCTACGGCCTCTCGCTCCGCAACCACACGAAAGGCCTCCCACCACCGCCATAAACGCAACGAACCCCTCTACAGCCGCGGGGGAGGCGGCGCGTCGCGTCGCCTGCGCCGCACACTCCGAAAGCTATTTCACTAAACTTAATCTAGTAATATAAGTATATCACTAAACTAGGTCCGTTTTATAACTATATCCCTAGTGAGATAGTAATGAATCGCTTTCGTATAACTATGTTCCGGAATATAATTATATCCCTAGGGATATAACTATGTTACGGCTACATCTATCTTACTGCGACATTAACACGCCGTTTTAATACAAAGCGACCGCTGCAACTCTTAAATTGCAGGATGTTGCTGATCAAAATGCGTTTTGGATATGTACCTTCTGTTTGACGATTTCATTTTTTCAATATAATCTTTATTTAACTTTACAATATTTGAATATTTCTCATTTCCTGTCTGATGTTAACCATTAACACTTTTCGTGATTAATGGCTAGTTTGCCCTTCTTACTTTACTTAGGTACTTTAGATTGTTTATCCAAAATAGCCTGAATATTAAAAGGGATTAGAGTTACAAATACACTATTTAAGCCGAGAGGTCGAGTGTACCGGCTTCCGGGACGGACGGCATGGAAGCCACGACGTAATGTAATAGAAAACGTATTGCACAATTTCCTGATTCGTCGGTATCGTATCTACGAGACTGCATCGAATGTTGCTACATTTTAGACCATCCTGTATTATTAGAAACAAGTGATGCTATTCCAATGTAAACGGATTTTGAACTTTATGCTTTTGTGGCAGAGTTGAATATCATTTTAAAAATTAAACTAGCAAAGTAATAATTAAAAACTCGTTGAATATTTATGTCAGCATAAACTATAATAAAAATAAAAGTCTGCGTTTAAAAAAGCTCACTTCAAAGCCAAACGAAAGGTTTTTTATTATGAGTTTATTACCTGATGGTAAGCAATCAGCGCCGTCCATGTATACCCGCTACATGGGAAGAGTTACGAGTGCAATGCTGGCATTTTGGGGATTAGGCGATTAGAGATTGAGGGATTAGGTAGGGATGGTGGGAAAGTATAGGGCCTCCGATAATCTCACTCACACGGCTAAACACAACGTTATGGTTGTTTCACGACAGTTTCCTGTAAAGCCGTGGTAGCCGTCCCATCGGTACCGAAGCATGACTTTCCCACAACACCCATCCACTGGTAGGTTAGTAGTCATTGCCTCAAGTTCTATATAATTAAAACCTAAATAGGTATCTTACAATGAGCTATTCGCAAATTTGTTATGGATTATTTCTCTGACATTTAAATTATTATTGGTCGACTTTAAAAACATTATTTTTGGGTGATCGTGATCGTGGGTGATTGGTGACTAGCCCATTAGTGCTGAAGCATGACTCTTCTTGGTGAAACTCAAGCATTCCCCTGACGCGGCGATTCCATGATATATTAGGTCCTAAATTGTATGAGCTAAATCATCAATTATTTTCATATCTTTATAGATAGGATTTTAAATCAAGTTTTTCTAAGTACCTAATCAGCCGAACGGACAGCAAAATATATTACTTAATTGAAGAAAATTTCTGTAGATATCTCTGTACTTTGATTATATATAAGGATATCTGTATTTCGCTTATTACAATGGATACAAAATAGGTAGCAATAGATATAACATACATATTTCGTATTATATTCACGGCGACCGCAACTTGTTGGTTTCCTGATTTCCTCATGTAGGTGAGTTATCTATCTACACCTATTTTTAAAGTTTGTGTTCACGATTTAAATCAGGTTGACATCTCAAAACTTTGTTAAATAATCTGAATTTGAAGTTGACTACTCAATAAAATTATTATTTTTGTTTTTTAAGGGGTAAGTTAGGTAGAGAGTTACTTAGCAGTGGTAACGGCGACGCCCATGGCAATAAGGTACACCGGCAAACGTACGGAGACATGGTAAGCAGTCGGTGCTGCCCATGGACTGCCACCTTTAAGTACTTTTAAGTGTGGGAGAGCCAAGCTTCGGCACGAATGGGTCGGCTCGACCGGAATGATACCACGGCCTCCCAGAATACCGACGTGAAACAACCACAGCGTTGTGTTTCGCCGTGTGAGTGAGGTGACCGGAGACCCAATCCTTGCCCTCCCACTAGGAGGGGAAGGGCCCCTTCCCTGATCCCTCCCAATCCCTAAATCTCCAAAACCCTAATCCCTAAAAGGTCGGCAACGCACTCGTTACTCCTCCGTTACGGGTGTCCATGGGCGGCGCTGATTACTTACCATCAGGTAATCCGTCTGTTCGTTTGCCGACCTATTCAATAAAAAAAAAAAACACAACACTAGGGTAGAAGTGCATTGCAATTGTTTATACTCTCACAGTAAAAAAACTTTTTGCATTTCAGTACTCGCCACAAGATTGATTGACTTTCACTATAAGGTTAGTATAATACTCGTAGGGATGATCGGATTGGTGTATTTTTAATTGAGTTGAGAAATCATCGTATACATGTCTTCCCCCGCCCCGTTAACGAAAGAGAGTAGGTACTTATCAGTCTCTTACCGACAAAAAACCACCCCATTACTATTACTGCTCCAGGCTGGAGCTGCAGGCATTATACTGAATTACCCTGGCTATCCCGAATCCCGGCTGATCTTTATATATATGTATAATCTGGTTGAGCAGGCCCATTCGTACCGAAGCATGGCTTTTATATAACAACCACCATGTAATAATATAGAAAATCTTTGACTACTTTTTCAAAACCGAATGGCGAATTAGTGATACATATCATATAGACATACGAATTAAAAAATATATTAATGCATCAAACACCAAGCGAAGCCCGGTTCGCATATTGTTCTTCTATCGTGTCTCGAATTACCATGATCGAAAGGTTAAAATTCATAACTAAAGTGTAAAGTTAGTAAATTTAACTGTGACATAAAAATTAGATAAAGCCAGTAGTTACCTAATCACCGATAATAATAAAAATGCTGAATGAACTGATAAAGTTGCCAGGAAATGATACAAAGTTTATAAGTACCTAATTATATTTTACATTCAACTTAATTTTATTAATATACCTATTGTTATATTTTTGTCGACAACACATATTTTTGTCGAGGAAGTATCTTTTCTAACACGGATACTGAGAATGAGCTTTAATCACTACTACCTACTTCTAATTTAGGGGTTGCTTGGCTTGCTCGCGATATATTTTACGCTATGTAAATAAATCATAGAAAGCATAAGTTGGTAAAAACTTTCACTGGTCTTGGCTTCCTATGCACATTGTTTTTAAGACGAACAGTCCTCAAATGACTTCAATCGCCTATGGTACGACTTATAGTGACTATAACCCCCACGTTCCTTCTCCGGCTCCAGGCCGAGGCTGCCGGCATCATAAACCCCAGCTAAACATCAGCCCTCCTGGGCAGCAACACGGATGGGGATCCGTGGTGCTCTATAAGGCGCGTGCGGAATGCTCAGGGAAGCACGCTTGGCTCTGGTACTGATTGGCAGACAGCGATCAGTTTACAGTGGCCGGAGATTGTCAACTTTTGCACCTTGCGGTTTTGCCGTGATCTCTTTGCTTGATAGGTGATTTGAAGACAATTTTATTGTGACACCCGCGGGAATATCAGGAGCAGTAGCTAATACGTATTTTACTCTGCCATTGCCACACGGTTTGACTTTCAACCAATTATTAATTAAGGCATTGCTGATTCCAACCCAGATGGAAA